TTTTTGGTAATTTAAAGCACGTGTTGAAGACATATTTTCACTTGTTTACATTTACTTTCAATTGCGGAAATTTTATCAATTTTATCAAATTAGGAAAAGGAAATATACTTTATCTAATCAAATTAAATAGAAATTCTCAATTATCAGCGAGATAAGAAAAGATAAAAATTTGAATATTCTTTTTAGAAATTAAACGAGATAATGAAAAAGAATAATTGAGAAAAAAAGCTAAATTGCTAAGCAACCAAGCTTTAAAAGCATAATCAGCTTTAGAAAAAAGCATAATCTTTTCGATTTTAGCATAATTCGATTCACACTTGAAAGTGTTGTTTTAAACCTTCTTCTTTTTTGTTTCCCATTATTTACACTTGTTAATCTTTTTTACTGAGTAAATCTGTGAAATTTTATGTTTAAAGTGCACCGAGTGCCAACAAAAAGAGTTTTAAATTGTTCCCGAAAATCTAAATATATTTATAATCAACGAACTTTGTTGGGTGTTTTAGTTGGTCTAATGGCTAATCAAAAAGTAGCTATTTGTGTTGCAAGAATCTTAGATTCTGATGGAAATTTAAAAATTATTCCTTTCGGATTCAAAATGAATGAAGAATCAATTCCTGCTGATTTAATTCCATTGAGTATCCATGCAAATAATCTCGTGAATCTAGAAATCGAAGGAGCGAAACCGATTCTTGTCATGATCGTCTGCGTCGGAGGTAAGTCATCCGATTTTCATTTAGTTCAATATATTAATTGAATTTTCTTTTTCAGATGACTCTCAAGAAGTCAAATTATCATACTCAATGTTCCTTGATAAAATCAAAGAAAAGATTTCTTCATACGAAACGAAAATCTCACGTTGGTTGACTTCTAATAAAATTTTGGTTACAAAGTCAGATTCTAAAAGCTTGATTCCAATAGATGAGGAAATCTTCGAAGGTTTTATTAGAAGAATCGAAATTATCAACAGACGAGAAAAGGCTAAACCAACTCCAAGTAAGCTTTTTCCACAGGTAGCTTCTACTCTTGTTGATTTAAGTAATGATAGTTCTACAACCCAAAGTGATTCCTCAGATTATGAAGATTCTGACCATCAAAAAAAGCCAAGCAAACCAACTGGTGATGAACCTTCGACAAGTAAAGGAATTACTCAAAAGAATCAAAAGACAGTTCAGAATTCTATGGAGAAATTGAAATCCATTTGTACTCTCGATGTGCATCAATGCGTCATTTACGTTCATTTTACAGTGAGACTGTCAACGTTTTGGAATTTTTGATAAAAATCAACGAAAGTTTTCAAAATATAGAATTCTATCAATCATTCACAAGTGAAAATGATGGCCTAAGATTTATACCTGAAATTGATGAAACACGCCAGGAAAATTCAGGATTAACATTCGTTGAAGGTGTTCTTCCTCTCAAAACAAAGAATTATCAATTGGCAATGAAAATGAAGCCGGCGACTAATAGTGAAATAGATTCTGGAGCAGCTTGCATTTTAAGCAACCTAATCAGATTCGCTTTTCCATCCCATTGGATCGAAAATGTGACTTTAAGAGGATCTGGAGGTCGAACATCCCTTCTCAACATATGGAATCATGTTGATCCTTTGAAACTTCCACTCAAAGAGCCAAAAGATGTCCTGCTTGGCGAGTCTCGATTTCGAGCACTACTCGGTATGCATTTTTATTTATTCAAATTCTTTATTGAAAAATTATTCTAAATTCTAAATTCTATTTCCATATTTCAAATTCTATTTTCGAGATCATGTGGTTCGAAAGAGTGGTAGAAAAAGCTATGATAAAGCAGTTGAGCGTATATTGGTTTCAACACTATCAAAAGCAATGCACTATGCTAGGAGCAAATTAGTGAATACAGTGAAGAAAAGTTCCAAAAGCGAAAGTTTTTTCGATCAAAAGGATGAAAAATCAAATGACTATTTTCAAAATCCTGTTGATTCTATTCCAAACCCTTACGGGCCGAAACCCAAAGTTCGAGCTGTTCAGCAACATAAGGACATATTTGATTTTATGGATGATACTTTCGGTGAGAACGTAGATGATGATGAAAGCATTAAACAACCACGAAAATCGAAAAATCAACGCATTGATGATAACGATGCATCGTCTCAAGAATCTGTTGGTAAAGAAAAATCTGGTGCCAAAATCGACGAATCTGACAAAACACAAGATTCAAAAAGTCAATCGACTTCTGGATTGCAGGATCAAGTTGCAACTTCTCCACGTATTTTACGAGATAAAAACACGTCTATGGAAGAAGTTGAAACTGAATCATCCGGATTCATTGAGCCCTCACACATTTCTTCAGATGGTCATTTGGAGTTCGTCCCTAACACGAATTCAACACCTTTGAAATCTGGAATTTCAGAGAGAGAATTGAATTCAAAAAGGCCATTGGAAATGATTGGGGAATCACCAGTCAAGAAATCAAAACAAGATTCACAAGAAAATGTTGCCGAAAATTTATCGGTGAAAGCATCTACATCAAGCGGTGGATTTTCATGCTCATTCAAAATTAATCCAGTTTTCGGTGATTATGGAAATGAAATTCCATCAAGCCAGCCAGTCGATGCAAAATTCTTTCAAAGCCTTGTCAAGACACCGACCAAAACACCGATTACGACACCGACCAAGACTCCTGTAAACTCTCCTGTCAAGACTCCTATCAAGACTCCTGTCAACTCTCCGGTCAAGACTCCGATCAAGTCACCAATCAAGACTCCGATCAAGTCACCTTCAATTAAAAAAGGTCAGTCTGCAGAGGAAAAATATGCAAGAGCTTGTGAGCTCTTGAAAAAAAATAATCTACTTGATAAATTTTTTGCTGCAGCTGGTTTGAATGATGATGATGATTAGATGATTTTATGAGCCAATAAAAAAGCAAGAATTTATTGTTAGATCCTAGTTCATAGGCAATTAGACAGTATTTCCAGTTTTTCAAATCAATTTTTTTCAAATCAACTTTTTTCAAATCAATTTTTTTCCAACTAATTTCCAAATCAATTTTTTTCAAATCAATTTTTTTCAAATCAACTTTTTTCAAATCAATTTTTTTCCAACTAATTTCCAAATCAACTTTTTTCAAATCAATTTTTTTCAAATCAATTTTTTTCAAATCAAGTTTTTTCAAATCAATTTTTTTCAAATCAATTTTATTGGCTCATAGACATCTTTGTCTTTACAACTTTGAGAATTATTTCCAATCATTTGCTCAGATTAGTAATCAAATGCAATTTTATAAAAGACGTAATCAGACAGTGTAATGCAATTTTAATTGCAAGTTTATATTCAGTTTATTTTCGAATAAAAGTGTTTCTTTTCCTAAAAGTTTGTGATTTCTAGTCAGATTCTTTACTCTCAACATATTTTCAACTTTCATTTAATCTCTTCAACTTTTGTTAATCAACTTGAATTTTGAATTCTATTTTCAAAATGAGTAAATCAAGAAAGTTAAGTTCGGTGAGTGACAATTCAAACTTAACATCTAGTGATTATTTTGATGGCAAAAGAAAATGTTTCTCACAGCCAAGGAATCAGCAGCAACTGAAAATCTTCAGCGTCAGTGCAAATCGAGGAAAATCAACTAAAAAGTCAAAACCATCCAATCCTGCGGAAACTAACGAAAATGTTTCTAAAAGTCAACCATTTCCAACAAAGAGGAATTCTATCGCTAGTGTGTTGAAAAAAGTGGACAAGAGACAAGCGGAAAATTTGAAAGATTTGTACGCTATAATTTTGCCGTTGCTTCTTGATGAGTCTAAAAAGAATTGGAATCAACCAGTGCTAGTTACAATCGATCAACAGAATTTAATCGAGATTGGAATTCCTATGGATTTCGATTTTCTAGAAGACGAAGAAGTCAATCTTTTCACTACTAATATTAATAATACCGAAATCTCCTTCAAAATCATTGCTTTAGGAGGTAAGATTTTTTATCCAACGCAATAAGACCATCAATTATACTCATTCATTTTTTATTTTCTAGGTGATTTAAATGAGCTGAGAGATTCTTTGAAAAAGAATATTGAAACTGATTCAAACCTTAAGAATCTCCGCAAAGTTATCAATTCAGAGCGGAAAATCGCGTTTGAACAAGATGAGTCTATTGTCATGCAAGAAGATTTGAAATATGTTATAGTGATGAAAATGAAATGAGGAATTTGTTCACAACATCGATTAGTGACCGAAAGAATCAGTGCGGAACAATAGTTGAATCTCTTGCGGAAGATTCAGAAAGAGAAAATTCTGTTGATCGAGATTCAAATAAAAGAATTCAAACAAACACATTGTCTAGAAAGCAACGGGAACAAAGCCATGACAACAATCATGAAATCGGTACTATCAAGAAAAATATTCCAGAAAATGAAGATGAAGATAATCCAGATTCAAGTGAAAAACGAAAGGCTTTCTTGAGTCGAATTCAAGATAAAGTTCTTGAGCTCAAGAAGAAGAAAGTTTTGCTTTCTGAAATTGACAGTACAGGAAACATATTGAGAAGTGTTATCGATACGGTTGATGAGATATTCAATTTTGTCTGCGACAAGTACAAAGAATCTCAAATGAATTTGCACGAAATTCAAGCTAAGGATTCAACTTATAAAGAAAAAGCTAAGGTAGATTTACTTATATTCAAGGTGAAATTTTCATATTAAATCTAATTCTTATATTCTTATAATTTTCAGAATAAAGTCTACATAGAAGGAAAGTTGCAGCTCCCA